TGTGCCCAAACTTCGGGCGAGGTCATTGAGGTAATTTTCTAGTAGTACCACTAACCTCAACTAGAATAAAAACGAACGAGTGAAGAAGGTTGAAGATTGTGGAATTCACCCTACTTAACATTGGTAAGTAAGTGATTATTCCCGTACTTAATTTGAAAAGTCATTTTGCTTGATATACTGACTTAAGCGGTTATTGTATGCGGTGGCCTTCGGAGGCTCCCTTTGTAGTTCAATGCCATAATCCGATCCCTACTGGGTCGACGGCCGGCGTTCAGAAAACTGGAAGATTGTAGGTCATTCAACCTACTCACAATTTGTAAGTAGGTGGTTATAAAACATAATATTCTTTCGAAGACCCCACAAGGAACCCTTACCGTTTTTATGGGTAAACAGATTCACATATTGGCGTCTAGCCACCCATGGGTTTTAGTAGAGTTTAGGCAGATTTGAATACTTCATTTGAATCACTTTTGAAGAAACTCGGCGACTTCTGTGGGATACGAACCCACTGCCAAAGCTATAGCCAGCAGAGCTGCAAGAAGCCACCGGGAGCCGTAAGTGCAATCATAGTTGCGACAGGTTAGCAGTTTAACTTACCGCAACGTATGGAATCCTCTAAGGTCCCTGAGTAGCGAACTGTTTTTGCCAGACCGAGCTTCAGCATCGAATATAGATTTTCCAGGTCGTTGCACTTGTTCATTGACTGAGAGCCCGTGGACCACGACTCAAATAATTCACAGCTCACACGATTGTCACCTCTCGCGAGAATTTCGGCCTTATCAAATTTGCCAAATCCATATTCGGTGCTGAGTCTCAGTTTGGCCAAAGCAAGTCGCCACTTGGGGAACGGACGGGCCAACGCCACCACAGGGAGATCAGATGGCCGAACAGTCATCACGTTCAATTCCACCACGTTTGATGAAAGTTCAGCAGGTCACGGCCCGCACGCCGGTCATCAAGCAATTAGCGCACAAGCGGGCAGTTATTCTCGATAGGAGAGTCGCTAGATGTCATAAGTTTGCAGTATCCTAGTGACTGTATCCTATAAATACTGTAAATCTCTGTGCATGGGTTACCCATTTCTGCTACTGTCTACACTAATGTTTCTGCTAAAGAATTCGCGATGGACTTCGAAACGTCAGACGAATAAAAGTCTTGTCCCAGCGATCGCATCTTCTTCTGCTTCGCAAGACCGCCCGTTTAATAATCTTTTCCGAGCCTGCCTTGGTGGAATTGATGTGAAGACCACTAGTCATTCCACCAGGATGGTTGCCGAGTACATTTCTTTAGGACACTAGAGGAAATAACGATTACTTAGGAGCAAGTGAAGTGTATTTTGGATTAAAATAAATTCTCAAGCTGCCAAATTTTTGTGACAATGTGGATCGGAATGTTTAGTCTGAAGCTAAATTCGGAACTCTGCACACAGGTAGTGATTCAGCATATCTGGAGAGTGGTGATCGTTTAAGGTATCCCAGTATGCAAGAAGCTCAACTGAATGAAACCATACTGGGCCCATAAGCGGCCCCGTCGAAGTCCCTGTCCTTCTTTGCTGCTTCCATTCTCGCGAAGCTCATTTATGCTTCTTGAAGCTATTGGTAAGAAGGTTATTTCTTACAACTTCGTCTGAAAAGGAGATTTTATTAAAATGCAGCATCTGACAGTGTTGACTCTTGACTCTTTTAACGAGTAGCATACCTCCTGAATTTTTCGAAGGATGATCGGCTCTTGTACCCGTATGTAAGGCTTCCTGGTTGCATTTGACTTGACAGTCCGACTTTCGTTTCTGACGAAGTCCATCGTTAGTCCACAGCAAGTTGGACGCACGGATGGTGACTTGTGCCAGAATTAGTTTGCAGTGATAGTAGACTTGTGCAGAAATCGAGTGTAGGTGAGTGGCGTAGCGCAAACCTGCGCCTAAGCGCACCGCCAAATCTCTCGTTCAGTTCAGTTTTTTTATGGGAAAGATAGGCGAACGCCTTTGGGCTCCTTTTTGGCAAAAGAGTGGCTAGGAAATGTATCAATACAAAAGAAAAATTAAAAAGGGTCGTCATTTACATGATTGAAGGTGGTAAGCGAGCAATTAGTGGTCAGCCAAAAATAGTAACCATACGTGGCTACTCGCTTAGCATTAGTAGTATACTCACTGTTATGGTACTTGCCCGCTCATACTCAAAAAGAAAGGGAGCAGCTCAGGTCCCACTGTGATGGACTAGCGTGACAACCACACACTCAGAGAGAGTCATTTAAACCTGACTTGCAGACCATTAGTCGAGCAGCACTCCATAGACACGCGCCTACTAGGCTGATTACAAGATCCAAGTTTTTCCGTCAGTTGGCAGCCTTCCAAGCCACGGCTTTTAGCGCACCGTAGTAGACGCAAACGCCTCTAATGGTGTGTAGTATAGATTATGCGCTGAGAGTCAACTCACTCTTTTTACTGATGAGGCAACGTTGCACAAAATTACCTACTTATTCCCTAGTAGAAAGCGTGTATTTTTTCTACTATGACATCGGTTGTTGTCTAATAACCATCCGCCCGCCCGTCTGCCCAAGAATTCGCTGATCTAGTGGCTTCCTTCAACCCCTGTTAGGTGGTGCTCGTCCCCCGCCGAAAGGCGACGCCGTGAT